AATTCGAAATGAAGGTCAAAGCTTTCTTCACTCTGGTTTGCATCCTTAAAATTTATGTTGCATATAAACTGTTGATGTATGAATAAAAATGGAAAATAGAAAATTAGGGCATTTTTATTAGATTTGAACCCTCATGGAGAGGCCAAACAAGAGAAATAAATTATTTTTTTTAGTAATGTCCTAGTTCAGCTAGAATAAAGAGGGCCGGTATTTGCTTACCCGAGTTAAGGAGGCGTTTCTCACAAACACGCTTGCATTGCTCGATAGTGTCAAAGTGGTTGTCCCTGGCACCACATCCTGTGTAGGAGAAGGGAGTGCAGACGCCACGTTGTCTATCGTAGAAGTAGCGTGTCAGATGAACAGCTCGTGGATCCTCGTGATTCAGAACCAAACTAAGTTGACAAATGCCATACGTGTGCTCCTCCAAACAGGAATCCCATGCTGAAAATAATATTCGGCAACTTAGAGGATTGCACAAGTTGTCTGCCCAAATAAACAACAAGTGCTCTTTTTAAGTAGTATACTTTCACAGTAGTTTAGCCCGGGAAGAATTTCTTTTATTAGTACTCTTGTGATATAAGACAAATTCAATCACATGTAGGCCAAATTCATGATGGCTGTACCAGAGTGTCTAAAAAGGAGAAAAGTTGCTCCTATAAGAGTTACGTCTGCTAGAGTTCCATCTGAAGCCAGTCGTAAAAGTGGAGATTCTCAAAAATTAATAAACTAAACTTTGAGAGCGTCATGCTTTTAACGACGATGCTGCAGACACTCCTCAGAGCAGTTCAAGCAGCACCAGATAACTTCCTGAAGCCCATTAGCCCAGCTTCTCACGTGATATAGGCTTAAACGCTACTCTGTTAAGTATAAAGAATAGTTAATAATAACAATTCTCCTTTTCAAAATACAGATAATCGTGTGACTATGATTACATTTCTCTGGTAACAATGGTAGTCAGACAGCACAATTTTCAAAGTATATCTATAATGCTGATGTATCGATAAGGTACCAAATAAATCAATAAAGCTCTCTAACATTGTTAGAGAACTTTCATTTTGTATGAAAGTGAATAAATAAGAGATTCGTTGGTCGATCTCACCAGATGAGGACGGATGAATCTCGTTGTACTGCAGCCGTTTGGC